GACATAGGGAAGACCAGAGCCCAAGGGCCCGAGAGGGATCCCGAGCGCAGAGCCCCAAGGGGCACCTGCACGGGAAGACCCCCCCACAGATCAGACCATAGGGGAGAACTGGGAGAGTCCCCCCAGCGACCACACGCACAGCCCCCGGGGCCAGCAGCAACGATGAAATGAAATTCTTACTTTGTCGTCCATTTTTGAATGCCAAGAGATAACTATATAAAAAATGAATCATCATTGAAAGGACACAAACAATGTTGATTAGATTAAAAAAAGAGACTAAACTAAGGATAATAACATGAGAAGGGAACAATATAATAATGACAACAAGAAGTGAACTGTACAATCAGTTTTTTTAGCTCATTCTTTGAGTTTTCTTCCACTGCGACATGCCTACAAAACCTCCAAAGGGAGACATCCACGACGCATCTCAGTTGGAGCCCTAAACCAATTCAGTTGACTCGTTTTGTTGCAAAGGAGCAACGACTCCAATCCAGAATGAAGGAGCTCCTCACCATATCTGTAAATCTGAGCTCAGCCATTCTTTTGAAGTTAAATCATCACATACTTCATGTTCCTTATCTTTATTCTTTTTGGGCATGATTTTATCTCATGATCATAGGTGAGGGCTGAAATGTTCAGTTAACATAACTTTGCTTCTACGCCAGTAGAGACCAGATCAGTACCCTCATTACTGCAGACAAAACCCTAACCTGTTGGTCTACCTCTCACTCTGTCCGACTCCAGTCATTGCCTGTAAGAGGGAAACAAAGATACTTTACTCTCACCCCAACCTGGAGGCAACATTCCCATCTTTATCCATTTCAGACTCACGACCCCCAGATTTAGAGGAGCTGACTTTCATCCCAGCTGTACAAGTCAAAGACAACAGCACCACACCATCTCCAAACCAGACACCCTTTTATTTAAACCAAACTATGGCTGTGGGAAAAAGACATGTCAAACACTAAGATTCATTTGCTGCTTGGATTTTCAGTGAAATCAACAACATTAAAGCCTGTTAATGCCACAGCTTTCCAACCTAGACCCCGATTTTGTTACTGCTGTCATTGTGCACTAAAACAAAGCCAGAAATTACACATTGGTAATAAATAAAAATAAAAAGTGGTGAAAAACAGTAACAGATGTAACCTCTTGTGAGTCTCCTTATTAGTAAGCTTTAGTCTCCCTACATTGTCATGGGCAGGCTGCACAGCTTTAGTCTTTTGGAGAAGAAAATCCATCAACCTGGCCTTAAATCACTGCATAATGAATTCCATCGTGCGCTACCCAGTTGTCTAATTCAAATTGCATGGAATCCTGATCCCTAAAGTCTGTATTTGTTTACTGAAGCAGTATGCAGAAGCCCGAATGAGGAGAAGGCAAAACCCAGAGTGTGTATTTAATTGCTTTGTTTTACATCCACATTCACGTCCGGCCTCTCCCAGGGTGATGTGTTGTTAAAAACTGCAAGGCCCCATTCCCACACTCGGCTCTCTTGTTAACTGTAATTGCACTTGTTGGTGAGCTGACAGAAAGCAAATAAAGATGGAAAGAAATTACCAGCATCATTCTAAGTTCCATGTTTGGATTTTCTTATTTTATTTAAAAAAAAAGTTTTTTTTTGGAAACTCAAAAGTCTACAAAGCTTTCAGTATACAGTGAAATATAGCTGAATTAAATTTGTGAAATTGATTTAGAAAAAGGACAAAAGTGACTAAGTAGGGTTCACTCAGTCAAACTTCAAAAGAGATGAATTATTCACAAAATCTGGCAGCGTGTGCACATGTAGCGGCTCTGATTTGGAGAGAGAGGTAACGCAGTAGGAACTCCCAGTAGAGCTGAATGTGCAGGTGTTCCTCCGAGTAAAATGCCACCTCCTTTACTCAATCACATCCTTTCTCTCTTTTCCTTATCAGACAGGTTGCTGTCTCCTGACTTTCTGTGGCTGTCACACATACACTCAAAGTCTGGTTGGGGCCATCTCGGAGCTTTCAGAGGAGGAAAAAGATCATTACTGTTGCAGACAGCAGCCATTTTATAAATTTGTACACTATCACAGGCTGCCTTTCCTTTTCTTTGTCACACTCAGACCGTCTCAAGTCACAGAGGAACTGTTCCCACAAATGTCTGTTTGACTACAGATGCTGAAATATACGGAGCTGCTTGTCCCCGTGCTTCTCTTTGACATTCTGGGTTGATAAGTTAGCTGCACGATTCATATGATCTTTTTAGAAAATGCTGTCATGATTCGTGGAGAATGATTTGGCTTCTCATCATTGAAAGAGCTGAACAATTGAAAAACTTGAAGTGCAAGGTGACAGGAGTTAGATTGTTCTTTTGCCTTCTCTGGTTCTTTGGTGATATTTTGTCCACACTCAGATAAGCTGGGATTTTTTCGTGTGTAGTTCTCCAACTCTTCTCAGTGTTTGATCCAAGAAGATTCAGGATGTAAATCTACAGAGGAAATTCATCCTCTACCAATCCTTAAATAAAATGTGATATGCACACAAAACCTTTTATTAAAGAGAAGTGAAAATGATATCCTTTGTCTTATTTTTTTCCCCAACAGCGCTACCGCAGTCCGAGTCCAACCAGAACTCCTCTGAAGTGGTCGACGGAGACGTTGCCAAGGACCCAAATGGCTTTCACCACGGCAGCACGGGCGCACCCACAATGAGTAACGGCAATGGAATCAGCCCCGGCTTCGGCGGCCCGGAGCCCACGCGGACGTGCACCTGCGGCGCCAACGTGGGTACGAGGACTGCGAGCGGCTCGGGGCCTGGAACAAGTGCAGCGGCGACCGCGCCGATGACAGAGCAGCCCAGGAGGCAGCCGTCCACGCCCGTGTCGCACAGGGTGCAGAGAAAATTAAGGTCCAGCTTGTCAGTCAACAGTGATGGTAGCAGACGTAGCAAAGGCAGCTCCACAGGCTCACAGAAACCTCCCTTACCAGAGGGTGAGTATCTCCACATTAGGAAAGAATGAAAGCAATTTATGGAGGGAAACTCTGCTCACACTCATACTAACTTATCTAACTTCTTATTGCTGGCATGCTCCTTTTTTTTTTACATCATTTCAGCTTCTAATGATCATTATTTTTTTTACCCGTGTCAGGGTCAGTTAAAAATTTAATCAGGAACTGCTAAAGAAAAATGTGACCCATCATATCGAAGAGGATTAAGTCAAATTTGGTCAAAATGACCTAATTACATTTTAAGATTCTTGGCTTTAAAAGCTACATTTTGATACCTGGATCATTATCATAATTAAATCCATATATTTGACTTAATTTGTCTTGTTGGTTACAATAATACATAAATATTTGGTCTGAATCCTAATTTKATGTHATTTTAATGAGGAATTTTTGATGTCTTTATAAAGAGGAAACCTCAAGCTATATTTGAATATTGAGATTTCCCAGCTAAAAAGGAACAAAACGTTGCTAGCTCACAGGGAAAATCTTTAAATTTAAGACGTTTTTCCTCAAAATCAGGTTTTTTTGTTGCTACTGCTCAAAAAAGTGCTTCAAAATTTTGTTTTATAATTATATTTCAGACAGTTCATTCAAACGATACATTGATAAGACTTTTATTCATTATATTTTTACAAAATGCAATTTTTGTTAACATTTTAGTCGAAACGCTATATTTGCCTATTTTTCCATGTACCACTTTTGGACTTAATCCTCGTTTCGATGTGATGGGTCACAAATGTGATCAAAAACTTCCAACACTTGGAGTTTTTTTACATGTATATACTTCTTTGTACATTCATTCTCAGTGAAAGACATTAAACCGTTAACCAAATAATTAAAAATAAAATCCAAGAAATTCAGAATTATATAAAAATAGCCCATTTTTTAAATGTAAAAAAAAAATAGACATTTTGTTTAACAGAAGGTAAGMGGTAAAAACACGTTATAGTAGACTGTAGTTCAGTGAAATGAGAACAGCATCAAACCAAATGGGGTTATTCTTGAGATGCTCATGAAATAAACCCTCCATATGATATTGATAATAAATTCTTACCATCTCTCACCTTTTAATGATGACGGTGCATGACCTCCCGTATTTATCACTCCCGTCAAGCAAATGACATCTTATCTCTCTCCTGTGGCTTTTATTTTCCTTAACAATAAGTCAGAGGGCCTGTTTGCCATGCAGGGAAGCCGTCACTTTGTCAGGTGCAAGGCCGAGGTGAGTCCGGTAATGAAGGCGGCTGGCCGCTCCTTTTCCGTTGGGGAGATAGGTGCGACCGTCTAACGAGGCCTGAGAGCACGGGGTGCCTATTATAAGTCGTGGCCAACCCTCGCCAGGCCCCTCACRGCCCCTCACACCTCTCTGGGCTCTTTTTGGCTCTCCCTACATCCCGTCAGCAACACCTTGGCCCTCATTAACAGGGCCCCGTCACCTTCTTCCTCCAGCTTCTCTGCTTTTTGCATGTGCGTGTGTGTTTATAGATCATGTTTGCTTATTGTTCCCACACAATAGCAAGAGTTTAGTCGTATTTCTTTAAAGATTAGTGATTTTTATTTTTTTCAACTTATTTTCAAAGCCCTGTCTTCTGTTGTTTTATCTAATTACTTAACTCTGTGTTAGCGTAAAAAGATAAGATGTAATTTAGTACATTTTTGATCTGATTATGACGACTGGGGGAGAATTTAAATGAGGGGAAAATGGTGACGAATCAGGTCTTTATGTGATTGCACATAAGTATGCATCAAGCCGTATCCACACAAACAAAACCAAATAGCTCTCACACATCTCAACACTTTGTGGGTAAAGCTCGAAAGCACCCGCGAGAGAGATATTCCAGATTTGTCATGTTTGTAATTRGTGCGGAAAAATACAACTGCAGCAGCTCAACAAGTCTCATAATAGCTGTTTTTGTGTTGCTTATTTGAAGACGTGCGAGCTTTCAGAATCAATATGCTCGTTCTCAGCTATTTATTTCCCCCTGGAAAACAGCCAAGCTGTTGTGTTTGAATGTTTACATGGATTAACATAATCTGTTTGCCTGTGAAATTAGCCTCCTAAACAGCCCTCTGAACACGGGATATAAAAGGCGTGAGCTAGTAGATGCTAGCTCCTGGGGAATAACTTGCTTTCTGTCTTTCTTGGCACGCGCTGCTGGCACCGAAGCCAATGTGCGATAATACTGAAGGGGTAATTTACCACGCTGCTTTTGTGCATCAGGGTGGGCTGTCTCTGCTCTTGCCAGCTAGTTTGTGTTTTTATTTGTGCGTAATCAGTTTAGGTTTCCAAGCTGCTTTAGCCTCATTTAAAGATTTATTCTTTTCTTAGCTTTGAGCGCAGTCCTAAACCCTTGCCTTTGGTTGTTTTCCTAGCCATGTTTTATGAGCTCCACTCCTCCAGCGTTTGGCTTTTCCCTCGGTCATGCATTATAAACAGAGCTGCTTTTAAGTTGCATGTGGTGGACCTTCACAATCCATCCCACATCCTCTGCTCTCTTTACCCACGTGTGCTCTCCAGTGGCCACCAAGGCTTTGTCTGATCAGTCCAGCTATTTTGCCCGCTCCCTCTTTTCTTTGTGAGTTTGAATGTTTTGCACAGCTTGCTGCTCTGAGGCCCTTCCAGCTTGTTTTGTGTCAAGGCTCTCCCCTCCCTCTTTTTTGATGTTGGCTTTCCAGATGTCTCGTAGTATTTCCTCAGAGGCGCCGGACGCAGCTTTTGGCCCCGGCAAACTCTGGGCTTCATCTCTGCTCGTTGACATTAAACAGGAGCGTTGTCAGTCTTCGCTGCTCCGTCTGTCCTTTGCTTGGTTTCACTCTGCCTTTCTGTCTGTCTCGCTGTGTTTTCATGGAGATGTGCCTTGCGCCCAGCTCTCTTGTGTACAATATACGACCCCAGCCACCCCCCCTCTTTCCCCGTCTCCGTGCTGGCTTCTGTAAGAACCAGACTAATCGCTGGTTCTGAATTATACATCCAAGTGAATAGCTGAGATGGCTGGCCACTGCTTATTGCCTATGTGTTTGTATCACATTCGCATTCTGCTGTTACGCTCTCAAAGCTGGCATGGTTATACCCTCTGGGTCCTTCAGAGTTTGTTAGGCTGAACTTTCAGGTTGTGTGCGTGCAGCTGTGTCCACTCTCACTGGATTTTTCGAGGCAGCGCTCTACAGTGGATGGCAGTAAATTGTAGACTGTGGCATTGTTGCAGCAGTTTGCATATCCACTCTTGATGTTCAACAGTGTGGGATATATTCTCATGCATCTTCCATCACTGCCTGGCCTCAGATAAGGATAATAAGATGCATTCAAACTTCACACACGCTTGCTCGTTTCATATTCCCCTTCGCTATCTTGTTTGTATCAGCCGGTGCTTCTGGTCAGCTCTGCAGCCGTCAGCACTGCAAAAATTAGGGGAAAAAAGAAGGAAAAAAAAAAACCTCCCCTCTACTTTGATTAATCAAACATGAGCGTTCAGAGGGCCTCTGCTCGCCTTCACATTCAGTCCTCCACACTCTCCACCTTTTTGCTTTCCTTCTAACCCAATCAGTAACAGGCTCCTTCTGATAGCTGGAGATGGGCTGATGAAAGTTATGCAAATGAGCCCCTGTTTGYAATGCTATTTTTCTGCATCTATCCACATCATGTCTTTTTAACGCGCCAAAGCAGCTCCGGACTCGGATCAAAAACCTCAGACAGCAGCTGTGAGGTGTGTGTGGCGAGTTCGTGCACTGAGGAACGGTCAGTGAGCTGAATACAGCAGAAGTTTTTAAGTGGGGAAACTCGTTCACATGTCCTATTAAATCCATTTATTTCTTAGTTTTTTTTCTGATTTTATTGTGCTGAAGTTCAGGTTTGGATTCTCTCATTTTAACTCTTCTGTTTTTCTGTTTGGAGCAACTTCAAACAGCAGAAATTATTGTAGCAGTCACATTTTTTTTAAATACTGTGAGATGATGCTATAGCCCAGAGGTTCTCAAAATGGGGTCCCTGGACCCCTAGGGGTCCGCGAGAGGTATCTTTGGGGTCCTCAAACATTTTTACTAAAATGTTAATTTGGTTTTTATTTTTAAAAATGCATGGAAAACAATGAACTAATAAAACAAACATAATAAACTTAATAAAAATATATATTCCCATGGCATTTAGGGGTTGAAATGATAATAAATTATCTTTTAAAACAGGAGGGGGTCCCTGGAATTTTTTTTTTTCTTTTCCCCAGACCCAAATGGCTTGAGAACCCYTGAAAGGTGTGGGGCAAAGATTTCCACACAATCCAGGCTTTTCTATCTCCTCAAAAAATCTTTCTTATTGCGAAAATCACAACAAAAACCTTCATTATAAAGAATTTCCTTTATTTCATCCTTAAACAACTCTAACAATACTTACATCTTGTGACTAAAGGCTTTCTGCTAAACCTTATATTGGTTCTATTTTGTTTCTCATTCAAACCAACACTGTTTTTATTCAACATGTAATCAGTTTTAAAACATAGAATCAGATTTATGATGCCTAATGGGTACATTTGTAACTCAAAGGAGAATTCTGAGTCGCAGCGAAGAAACAAGTGGAAATCTCAAACCAGCAGCACAAAGGGTCTGTGAGGAGGTTAAATGTTAATCGGAGGTGTGAGCATCACCGGCATTAATTCACCTATTTGTCAGGGTGAGGCTTTTGGACTCGGGTAATCATCTTTGTTTTATCAACCTTGCAGTTTTGCATGATAATGCCACAATTATTTAACAGCCTGTTAATCAAAACAGCAGGAGAGGAATTCACTTTTTAACATTTTCTTATTTTCTTCGACTCGCCTCAGTTTGCTGACAAGCTTCAGCCACAGATATGTTTTTTTTCTTCAGCATGCGTCTGTCTCGCTCACCCTGCACTGAATTTTCCCTTTTTTTAGATAATTTTAAGATTCCTTTACAAATAAAGTGTTTTCTTAGCTTTCTGTTTTATTTTGTTCCGTCGCACTCCAACAACCTGGCTCCCTGACTGGTTTGACTTGGACCCAGACTGCTGCGTTCACTGCATCCTGGCCTGCCTTTTCTGTGAGTTCCTGACTCTTTGCAACATGGTGGTGGCGCAGGCCTCGTGCGGCGCCTGCACGTCGGAGGCGTGCTGCTGCTGCTGCTGCGCCGACGACCTGGGCGACGACTGCAACTGTCCCTGCGACATGGACTGCGGCATCATGGACGCCTGCTGCGAGTCCTCGGATTGCCTGGAAATCTGTATGGAATGCTGCGGAATCTGCTTCCCCACATAGGATTCTTTGACGAACAAAATGAACCCTGAATTTGGGGAAATAATTGAAGGGAACTTCTGCTTTTGTCACTTTGAAATCATCAGATGGACAGAAGCGTGTGTGTGTGTGTKTGTGTGTCTGTGAGTGATAGTTGTGATGTGAATTTGCAGCATGCTTAGAGATGTTTTGACACTGGGCTTCTCTACCAAAACCAGCTCAGCGCAGACTAGAATCTAATCCAGATTTATCCACGTCAGTTAAATCCTATGTGTATAGAAGAAAAAGTATCATAACAGACTGCCTTTTCGTTGTTTTTAACGTCAAGATTGCTGTTTAAATGCATCTCATTTTGCTTCTTATATTCATTTTGAACAAACATTCCAGTTTATATATAATTTTCTTTTTGATGCTTTAAAACTAAGGTTGCATTCTCAGTACTGTACAACACTGTAAGTAGTTTGTGATGGCTAATACGACCATTATTCCATGTTGTAGTTTTGCCAAAAAACTTCCTTTTAGACATCTACTGTAGCATTCCAGGACAATTTAAACTGGTGAATTATTTTTTTAAATTCAGGGTGTCGAATAAACTTCTAAAATATGTGACCCATCATTTCAAAATGAGGATTAAGTCAAATTTGGTCAAAATGACCTAACTACATTTTCAGATTCCTGGCTTTAAAAGCTACATTTTGATGATTATCCAGAGATATGACCTAATTTGTTTTGATGGTTACGGTAATACATTACTGTTTGGTCTGAATCCTAACTTTATGTAAATTTATTGAGTAATTTCACAGGAAACATCAAATATTATTTGTATATTAAGATTTCCCAGTTGGAAAGAAAGAAAAACTTTGCTATCTCACGGAAGATTTCAAACTTTTAAGGCGGTTTTTCCTCAAAATCAGGTTTTTTGTTGCTACTGCTAAAAATGCTTCAAGAATTTTTTTAAGGATTATATTTCAGACAGTTGATTCAAATAATACATTGATAAGGCATTAATTCATTATATTTTGACAAAATGCAATTTTTGCACACGTTTAAATCAAAACCCTATATATGCTTATTTCTGCACATTCCACTTTTGGACTTAATCCTCGTTCCGATGTGATGGGTCACATATTAGATATTTACCTATAAAAACTGATGAGGGTTTTTTAGTATTATGAAGTCTTTATTTAATAATGCACAATAGAAATGCACAAAATTAGTGAWAAGCTTATAGAGGTTTGTAAGATTTTAGTGCTAATTTTTTTTAAAATCTCTAAAGAATCTCATCTCACATCCTCTGGTTTGCTAGCATCTTTAGACTTTATTTTACTGGAATAGAAGTTGATTTTTATTGTAAAACTGGAWACATTTTTGTATTAAAACATCTGTGCAGCTTATATTTTGCAATCGTAGTTGTTGTTTTACATTGCCTATGAACTGATTTGTTTCATCAGCTGGATTAATTCTCACTGGGTTGCCACTGTTAGAGACTCAACATTGACAGAAAAAAAATCAGTTTGAGTGTTTGTGACCAGTGAGCTTTAGGGCTGCCATTTTTTGAAAATCACCACATTTTTGTATCCACAGTTTGTGAAATTGTCCTCTAGAATGTGGACATGTTTACCCACCTCACACCAACCTCAGCCTGCTTTTACCTTAGCAGCTGCTCTCATTGTTAGGCTTTATTCCACTGAAGTCCAGTTTAGAAATGAAAAAGGCAGATTTGGACCAGTTTTTTAATGTCTTTATTATTATTATTTTTGAAATCATCTGAGTAAGTTTTAAACCTGGACATGTTTCTGTCAGAAGAAACATGCAAGTTTCAAAATACAGCTCTTTCACTCCATGTTCAGAAGTCAAGTGTCAAGACTTGAAATTTGCGATTAAGCAAGGAAACTGACAACCAAGGTAACAGTAGTGGAACATTCTGGAGACTCTCTTGCAAAGACTGTCTATCAGCATCCACAGCCCTTTGAGATACTATCATAAATTTTCTTTGTGATACATACCTGAAAAAATGGTGACAGTTAGTAGCAACTTATGCAGGGAAACAGCAGCTGTCTTTGTATTTTCTGTTCCTTAATTCTGTGCATCTCAGGCTGAGTATATGGTGAGTCACCAGCAGAGTCATTTTCTTGTCTTGGAGATCCGCTTTGATGTTGTTTAAGTGATGATACTTAACGCTGGCCCCCATTAGCACTGCTTACTAAATGGTAACCAAAAAAATAAAAGTTCCTTTCTAATTCCATCAAAGATAATGTGCTGTCATGCACAGCTCGTCTTAATAGCACAATGTTATAAGGACGTTGAATAGACACCTCTTCAGTAGATAATCTGCATAAAGTAAACCTCATTTTCATATTTATGATTAGCAAAAACCACAAGTGTGTTCAAGAGTTCCAGAGTGTCATGATTGTAGAAAATGTGAAGATTTTATGTTGCAGAAGAAATATAGCAAATGTCTACTTTTACTTTGTTTTTGTTCTCTTTTAGTCATTTTATCTTATGCATAACTGCTTACCTTGAATTCAAAGCTCAGTTTATTAGTTTTGCACAATATATAGAATCTCAAAGGAAACAATCTTTTTTGAAATAAATGTTGCAAAAAATTATTTTTTTTGCTGCTGTTTTTTTTCTTTTGCCATGTATTATGTACTGAACATTTCATTTTAATTTTCTAGAACTAGCAACCCATTTCAATACATAAAGGATCATTATCCTGTTGGGAGTCTTAACTTCAACTCCGTCTTWAGACTTTATGAATAATACCACAGTCACAACAAAGTCTGCAGGCTGAGAGGCAAGAAGGCAGGTCCAAACCATAACCCTTCCCCTACCATGTTTTACCATGAGTGCTGCTGTTTTCTTAGTGATGGCTAACTGTCAGTGTGTCTACTGCATTCCTTTTTCAAAGTACATTAGGCATTTAGGTTATTTAGCAAAATAAACCTTTACCATAATGTTCCTTTTTTGATAACAAAGGTTTTTTTAGGGATGCACCGATATAAAAAATTTCAGCTGATATCGATATCTGATATAATTATTGCTGTTATGGCCGATAACCGATATTTACCTATATTACACAAACATACAAATTATATTATACACATACGCACAAACACTTGGGTCTTTTTTGGATACTGTAAATAAACAACCAGACCTCTGACCTGGCTCTACTTCAGTTATTCATGGCTGTACAGCATCAATATCACTATCATGATCAAACAGATGCTGCTCAACCAACCATCTCCCCTCCCAAAACAGAAACACAAAGATAAAAACTGGGAAATCAATATCAGACATTAATATTGGCCCAGTTTTACAGATGGGGCCGATACCGATATTCTAAAAAATGACCAATATCGGCCGATACCGATATCAATACCGATATATCGTGCATCCCTACTTTTTAAATTGTATTGCATGCTTAATAGACCATTTCGTAGCTTAAAATTTAACGCTTTTCTATGGAAAAGAATTGAACMATTTCAACTGGATGCATTTGCTCTAAACTGATTTTGTATTAGACTTTCCTTTTAGGATCATAGATGGGATGTTTCATAAACTTCTACGTTATAAATCTGCTTTTTGAGCTTGTTGAATTTTCACAATTCCAGTGGTGTTTTCATTTCAACCTCTTGTGTTTTCCCAGTTCAGCTATGACTCAGATGAGTTGGGCTCCACTCTTACTTGAAATGGTCTATTAGAGCAATCTCATTTTGTTTATACACATTTCAACCATAGCTTTGGCACAAACAACTACAGGTTTTGTGTCTGGGAATGTTTTTTTTTTTAGTTTGAAATCTACCAGATGAACATAATAAAGTAGGACTACTGTTTGTGCCATTTTGCAACCATGCCATAGTGTTTTTGATCATCCTTTTTGAGTTTTGTGACATTCAAATAAATTTAAATGAATTGTGTATATTTGAAAGTGTTGTGGTCTCACATTATGATGTCCCACCTTCCTGTCATCTCTGTAAGAGTTCAAACATGAGGACAGCGTCGACATGGGTACGTAGCCAACAACATTCAGTGAGGTCCTCAAGGAGCAAGAACCTCCTGCTGGGTGGGACAGACGTCTGACCTTTAGCCAACATTACCTCCCATTAAACCCCTCAATTAACCTCCATGGCAGCCCTCTTGCTGGAGAAGTTGAGAAAAGAATCTCCTCCTTATTTTGCCTCATCTTTTGTCGCCTGGATTCACCCTGACCTCAGAAAATTGCCGTCTTATTTCACTAATGCATTTGGAAAAAAAAATACTGCTGTCTTTAAAGTCTGTAATCATGCAGGAGTTGTACTTTTTTTTTCTTTTTTACTTTGTTCTATTTGTACAAATTTAGAAGAAAAAATTCAGGTGGAGTGCGCAATGACCTTTTCACAAAGTCTTCCATGTTTCTACTCGTCTAATCAATCCCCCTCTGATCGCTCGCTGTGTGCTGGATTGTAATGTCACAATTAGGGCCGCTTCATTGTTTCTGTTTTCTGTCTGGGAAGAAAGTCTTCTCTGATCACAAGGTCATTTCTTTTATAGTTTTTAAATAAATTAAAGCGTGGCTATGGCCTGCTCCTCTGTTTAGCCACGTCCATCTATTCATCCCTTTTTCTGCTCAGATTGGGAGCAATATTTAAAATAATGAAAGTCTTTTAGATATGGTGGGGGGGGGGGGGGTAAATACAGATGTGGACAATTTTTTGTACCCTTTAATGAAAAGAAAACCAAACACCAGGTCTATAGTGACATGGTAAACTAAGTGTGTCCTGTAATTAGTATTATCGGTGTTGTATTAATTGTCATCAGTCAATCTGCCTATTTAAAGGTTGAAACGTAGCTACAGTGTTGTTTATCATGGTGTGTACCATACTCAACATGAACCACAGAAAACTAAAGAGTTTATCTAGCACAATGTCTTTAATTTGTGCAGAGAGCAAGAGAATCTCAAGACTATCAAGGCTTTATGGTACAAAATGTGCTGCCCAGTTTCAGAAAGCTCAATTGCAGGTGATGGGTTTTCCAACAGGTTAATCAGCTAAGATCAGCTAAGAACCAAATATTGGACTATTTTAAAGTGGCCTTCTAAGCCTTGATCAAAATCCTGTGGGAGGAGATAAACTACGCAGTTTGGGGATGGCACACTTCAAACTAGCTGAAGGACTTTCTCCACAAAGAGTCGGACGTGTGGACAGGCGCCATGCTTTGTGTCAACGTTCGTTTTATCAGTATGTTTAAAATAATGCTCGTAAACCAAAATTCAAAAGCAATCTCTTTCATCAGTTTCTACTTATTTCAATTAACTTTATGGGTTATTTAAAAACGAATGTATAAATATTCTTCAGTTCATTTTATTTTAATATAAACTATTGAAATAGGAGTTGTAAGCTGATCAGATAATGTGTAATATGACTTATTAAACAGAACAAAAGATGGTAATGCTTTACCATCTGTTTCCCTTTTTGTATTCTGCTTTTTGGTGGAACAGCAATTTGTTTTTGTAAAAGAAATGTGAAAATGTGACTTCACATTCTCTCTCCCATCTCTTCAACCCACAGGATCCATAATAGCCGTCATTACCCAGCTGATATAATTGTGGTTATTCATTTTAATTCTTT